TATGTCATCTGCGGTCTCTTAATTCATTAGTAAAACATCTACCTGTACTTTTTTCCCTAGTACATTTTGGCCGGTTGTCTCTCATTAAAAATGTCCTGCTGCTGGCCAATTTTACATTGCTGTATCATCTGTGGACCCATTAATCCTTAATGAGAGCCTGATAGAAACTGGCCAGCGACAAGACTGTTTTCCATCAGTGAGGATGAGGACATCGACAGCAAACTATTGGCCAATTTCCATCTGCAGGTCATACCTTGTCACTTCTAAAGTTACTTGAAGAAAAAAGCCTAGTTTTGAAGCTGGAATGCATCATTTTGGGGTGCTGCTGCTGTATGTAAGACAAGCTGGTTGTAAAAGAATCCATTCCACAGGCAAACAAGCACTGTCAGTGTATGTGTAGATGTCAGGAAAAATCATACTGTTCCTTAGTGTATGTCTTTTTTTTTACAGTAGTTTGCCTATTAGCCCTAAAAACTGGCAGAAAGATTCACTCCCCTTAGTCTTCAGTGGGATTCGCCTCTAAGTTTGGCCGATCAAACTGGGGCAGATTTGCCCATCACTATGCATATTAACTAAGACACTGATAGCACCATCCAAGGCAGTAGAGTAGTGATTAGCCAGAAAACAAAGGCGAACTTTTCTTTGCTGTTTACAACTCTGCCTTACCTGGCGCTCTGCAATATTTCTTTGGACAAGACATCTCCAAAGAAAGACAGGCTTTGATATCTGCAGGATCACTACTCTGCTTCCTTGGGTGGAGCTGTCAGCTTCTTATGTTTATATACAGCAAGTTACAGACCCTGCACACTCCAGAATGGCGGCAGACTATCTGTCTGATTGAAAACATAATTCTGCCTTTGATGGTCACAACAGAACACTGCAATTGTTCGATGTGACTGTTGAGGAAAGCTTTGAGCGTGCTGAAGGCGCAAAAGATTTAAAATCATTGACTGGACTGCAGCAATGACAGGGGAACATCCTCAATGGCCGCTGATGTAATCTGACAGGGCATGCCTACGAGTGCAATAAAACACATATCGTGCCCCAATGAGTACAGGAAGGCATGCAGGGCATCCCTACAAATACAGGAAGGCACGAAGGGCGCCCCTACGAGTACAGGAAGACATGTAGGGTGCCCATACGAGTAAAGGAAGAAATGCAGGGCATCCCTACAAGTACAGGAAGACATGCAGGGTGCCCATACAAGTACAGGAAGACATGCAGGGCATCCCTACAAGTACAGGAAGACATGCATGGTGCCCATACAAGTACAGGAAGACATGCAGGGTACCCATACAAGTACAGGAAGACATGCAGGGTGCCCATACAAGTACAGGAAGACATGCAGGGCATGCCTACAAGTACAGGAAGACACGCAGGGTGCCCATACAAGTACAGGAAGACATGCAGGGTGTCCATACAAGTACAGGAAGACATGCAGGGCATCCCTACAAGTACAAGAAGACACGCAGGGTGCCCATACAAGTACAGGAAGACACGCAGGGTGCCCATACAAGTACAGGAAGACATGCAGGGTGCCCATACAAGTACAAGAAGACATGCAGGGCATCCCTACAAGTACAGGAAGACACGCAGGGTGCCCATACGAGTACAGGAAGACATGCAGGGTGCCCATACAAGTACAGGAAGACATGCAGGGCATCCCTACAAGTACAGGTAGACACGCAGGGTTCCCCATACGAGTACAGGAAGGCATCCCTACAAGTACAGGAAGACATGCAGGGTGCCCATACGAGTACAGGAACGCATGCAGGGCATCCCTACAAGTACAGGAAGACACGGAGGGTGCCCATACGAATACAGGAAGGCATGCAGGGCATCCCTACAAGTACAAGAGGATACGGAGGGTGCCCATACGAGTACAGGAAGGCATGCAGGGCATCCATACAAGTACAGAAAGACACGTAGGGCGCCCCTACGAGTACAGGAAGACACGTAGAGCGCCCATACGAGTACAGGAAGGCATGCAGGGCATCCCTACAAGTACAGGAAGACACGTAGGGCGCGCTTACGAGTACAGGAAGACACGTAGAGCGCCCATACGAGTACACGAAGACACGTAGAGCGCCCATACAAGTACAGGAAGGCATGCAGGGCATCCTTACAAGTACAGGAAGACACGGAGGGTGCCCATACGAGTACAGGAAGGCATGCAGGGCATCCCTACAAGTACAGGAAGACACGTAGAGCGCCCATACGAGTACAGGAAGACACGTAGAGCGCCCATACGAGTACAGGAAGACACGTAGAGCGCCCATACGAGTACAGGAAGACACGTAGAGCGCCCATACGAGTACAGGAAGACACGTAGGGCGCCCTTACGAGTACACGAAGACACGTAGAGCGCCCATACGAGTACAGGAAGGCATGCAGGGCATCCCTACAAGTACAGGAAGACACAGAGGGTGCCCATACAAGTACAGGAAGGCATGCAGGGCATCCCTACAAGTACAGGAAGACACGTAGGGCGCGCTTACGAGTACAGGAAGACACGTAGAGCGCCCATACGAGTACAGGAAGACACGTAGAGCGCCCATACGAGTACAGGAAGACACGTAGAGCGCCCATACGAGTACACGAAGACACGTAGAGCGCCCATACAAGTACAGGAAGGCATGCAGGGCATCCTTACAAGTACAGGAAGACACGGAGGGTGCCCATACGAGTACAGGAAGGCATGCAGGGCATCCTTACAAGTACAGGAAGACACGGAGGGTGCCCATACGAGTACAGGAAGGCATGCAGGGCATCCCTACAAGTACAGGAAGACACGTAGAGCGCTCATAAGAGTACAGGAAGACATGTAGAGCGCCCATACGAGTACAGGAAGACACGTAGAGCGCCCATACGAGTACAGGAAGACACGTAGAGCGCCCATACGAGTACAGGAAGACACGTAGAGCGCCCATACGAGTACAGGAAGACACGTAGAGCGCCCATACGAGTACAGGAAGACACGTAGAGCGCCCATACGAGTACAGGAAGACACGTAGGGCGCCCTTACGAGTACACGAAGACACGTAGAGCGCCCATACAAGTACACGCAAGATGTCCTGCTGACGCTTCCCACGTGCTGATGCTGTGGAGATCTAAGGTCGAGACCTTCAATGGCATCACTAGGAAAAACAAAAAACTTGGATTGTTTCAATAAAGGAGCCATGCAAGTGCAAAGTTCCTTTTCATGTTTTTAAAGGGGTTGGAATGGGAGGTTTCAAAAGTTTGAATACTTTGCTCAGAACTCAGCTTTAATAGGATGATGAAGTTGGTGAGGTAACACAGTTGTGGTCTACCACCTTGGCAGGAGGAAAAGGTTCATCTCAGTATAGGTGATAGGAAAGACTGTGGCCAGCGGGGCTACTTGTGCCAGAGGAGGCAGTTGTTGAGGCCAGGGTTATGGCTTGCCGGTATAATAAATGGGGAAGGGTCACGAGACTATTGGTAAAGGGACATGTGGGTGGTGTTCTCAGTGCTGCACAGATGAGTCGACAGGGCCTTGGCCACCATGTCATATGTAGGTGTACTGGTACAATGAAGTACAAGCCAGCAGGACAATGGAAGGGACAGGAAGGTTGGTGAGAGAACAGCTCCAAGGATGTCGGCCCACGATGCACTGCACATTGCTGTACATTGCGATATAATGTCTACCTGGCTGATTTGATCACACTGCACACACGGGTCGGACATTACCACATCACACAGGCGTGGAGTCAACCTGATTTTTCACTGTTTTGCAAAAAGGCACATTTTACAATTTACAGAGATTTGCTATATATTAACTCAATGCGGTTTTATTTATTTTAGGTATTTATATTGGGCAAAAAAATTATGTTGTGCTTGTGAGTGCTAAAAAATATTTTTGTGTATTCTTTCCCAAAATACTGTTTTAATAAATATTTGCGCAACTATTGCAGGATGTAAAAATTCAGCAGTGTCATCGTTTTATCTTACAGGTCCCGTGTTTTTATAACATGTATGCTTTGGGGGGAATTTTACAAACCTGTAAGTAAAAAAAATAATGCAACATGGCTGCCTGAAACAGGACACTGAGTTTGCGAGCCCACCCAATTCTGCCCGGTGTTCTATCAAAGATTGTGACTGGGTTGGAATGTGTAACTGGTCACACATTTTGATGTGATCCCGCCCAGTTTTTCAGCAGTGGAATATGTGACTGGCAAAAGGTGAAGAATTCCAACGCTTTCTCAGCTGTTCCAGGGCAGATCGGCATCGCAGATTGTATGTGCAGGAGAATCGATCTGCCTTGGAACAGCTGTTCGGTCCTGAAATGGGACTTTGTGAGTGCGATCTCACATTCCACAAAGTCGGATGGAAGTGACGTTTCAGGACCGATCAGCTGTTTCAGGGCAGGTCAGTTCTCCTGCACATACAATCTGCAATGTCGATCTGCCCTGGAACAGCTGAGAAAGCGTTGGAATTCTTCACCTTTTGCCGGTCACACATTCAACCGCCGAAAAACTGGGCAGGAACTCGTTAAAATGTGTGACCAGTCACACATTCTAACACAGTCACAAACTTTGATAGAACACTGGCAGCCTGACACAGAGCAAGGAGTTCCCGAGCCCGCCCACTCCTGCCTAGGAGCCTGAGAGAACAATGAGTGCCCGGCAACTCCTGCCTGAGCCATGAATGCCTGGCCCGCCCACTCCTGCATTACAGCCTGACACACAGCAATAAGTGCCCGAACACAGGCTTTCCCTCTCATAGCTGGCAGCCTGACAAAGCAACGAGTGCCCGGCGGCCCATTCCTGCTTCGCAGTCTGACACACAGAAACGAGTGTCCGGCCCCCTATTCCTGTCTCACGGCATGCCTACTAGTACTACTGCCTGGATGTCCGACATATGATGCAGTGAACCCTCAGCCCTCCTTCTCTTTCCGTGCAACTCAGTTTCCCTTTCACTTCTCGCACATTTCAGACGAGCCGGTCACATGTTTCGTGTGGCCCCGCCCCCCGGCAGTTCCAGCTCCTCCAGTCACACGCTGTCTCTGTTGAGCAGTTCCTGTTCCGGCCCCGGAAACAGAGAAGAGAGTGCGAGAGTTGCCGGGTCATTCTGACGGGATTGTCTGCGGTGCCGCATCTGTAGGCTTAGAAATATACCATGTGCACAGGTAAAAGGGGGAAGGGACGGGTTAAAATCCCGGTCTAGGCAACGAGATCCGAAACGGGGACCATTTGAGGATATTGTTATAATGTTCACTCCCGTGGCTGCTGAGTCATAGGCGGGGCCTGGGAAAAAGGGGCGTACTTTCTTAAGGCGGGGTTTAATTGATGGGTGTGGCTATATATTGGGTATTTAAAGCAGACAGAATGACAGTAAGCCCCTGTAGACATCTTGGTGTCTGTTGTGGTTTTCACAGTCTTCAATTATTCTGTTTCACCCAATGTGTTACTAGGAGGAGGAGATGGTTATTAGAAGTAAAACTACAAGAAAAATGCATGTTTTTCAGCTGCTCCCATTGAAGTTTATTGGGAACAAAAACACGCAAATTGTTTCCAAGCTGCTGCATTTTTACCGCACGTTGAGCGACAACATATGGGCTCCGATGGGAACGGGCACAATAGAATAACATGGAGTGCCAAGCGTTGAAGCACTTCACATCGCTTGGGTGTGAATGGGGTCTTAGTATAGTAAAGCATAAACAACTGACATGTTGTGTTCTATTAAATATGTGATTTCATTTTCTTTGTTTCATCTCAGTACTCCTCTCCTGTAGCCTCTTTGCAGCCACTTCCTGTCTACGTGTGCCCTTCAGTCATGGGTGGGTTTTGTGATGGTGACAACAGTGGACTAATGTTTTCGCAATGTTGACACATCTCCTTGTAGTCTCAATCAGAAGCCTGTGTGACGAGGTGACAACGCAGGTGCACTATTAAGGGAGAGGGACAGACTGTTGTCACCCTGTAGCAGGAGGTGCCCGAACAAGGACTTGCAGGCCAGGATCGCCAGGGATCATTGTAATTAAAGCTGCAGATTTTTTAAGTTAAACTAACAAGGGGGCAGGCAACCTTGTCAGCTGCTGTGACACTACAAGTCCCACGAGGCAGTGCCTCCCAGAGACATGATGAGATTTTAGTGTCACTGCAGTTGATGTGTCAAGGTTGCCTCAGAGCTGCAGACTGCTGCAGGGGGATATATACGTTGTGGGGTGGAAGGGTGGGCTCTTCCCATTAGCTGGGAATCTGCCTGACTGAGCAAGGTCAATCGCCAGGATAATTGTGGAACCACAACAACCAGTACTAGACTGGAAGCACACAGGGGGGAATTTATTAAAACTGGAGCAGCTGTGAGTGGCAACCAATCAGCCTCTCTCTTCAGTGTGCTCAGTAAAGGTGGCAATACACTGTACAACCATCGCAAGACCTTAGTCTTGCGATGGTTGTAAAGTACTTAAAAAAACGTACGATCTGCCCATCTTGGACAGGCAGATCGTACTTGCCACAATCGCAAGCCCGCCCCCCTGAGGGGCGGGCTTACGATGACTGTAATGAGGGGCGGGCTTACGTTGACTGCAAACGGGCAGTGTGCGTGTGCGCACACCGGCCCGTTCGGCAGTTGTCGCACCAGCAGGTCACTAACTCGCCGAGAATCGTACGATTCCCGGCGGGTTTTCTAGCATGCTGGTTCGACGGAAGACGTGCGACCGTACAGTAGAAACGGTTGCACGCCTTCCATACACTGCACGACTCTCGTACGATCGCGGGATTTCCCGCGATTCTCGTACGAGAATCGTGCAGTGTATGGGCATTTTTTAGGCCTAGTTCACACTAAGCTGCCAAATGAATAACCCGAGCCGAACGCCGTTCAGCTGTTCACTTCGGCCCTGTATGGCTGATTTCAGATTTACGTTGGCTAACATCAGCCTTACATTGGCTGGCTTCACTTCAGCCAAACATGCTTAGCATGTTTGGCTGAGCCGAAGTGAAGGAGCTGTTCGATCCAGCCGAACCTCCGGCGTAGGGGCCGGAATAGCCAAATGCCGCGGAACGGCATTCAGCTCAGTTACTCTGCTTGCTACCATCGAGGTAGCAAGGAGAATAAAAAAATGACAAGTTAAGAAAATTTAAAAAACAAAACGGTGTGGGGGTCCCCCTTCTGATCCATACCAGACCCTTTAGGTCTGGTAGAAAAGTTAGGAGGGACCCCAAGTTAAAAATAAAATAACAAAAATGCGTAGGGTTCCCCCCAAAGTCATACAAGGCTCTTTTAAATCTGGTAGGAACTTTAAGGAGGAACCCCACCCCCGAAAATCTGGGGTCCCCCCTAAAATTCCTAACAAGACTCAATCCGAGCACAGACGGGGGGGCAAACGAGGCCCTCCCCCCTTCCTGCACCATACCTGGCCACATGCCCTTGGCACTGTGAGGGTTCCCTGGAAAAGCTCCTTGTCCCGTTGCCGATGGGGACAAGGACTTCTTCCCCAAAAGCCCCGGACCGTTGGTTGTGGGGGTCTGCGGGTAGGGGGGCTTATTTGCATTAGGGTACCCTCTTTAATAAGGGGGGCATCCAGATGCTGCTCCCCCCTTGTGAATAAGTGAAGGGTACTTGTGCTTGGAAGGCGACCTTGTTACATGCTAAATATGGGTGGACAGAACCTTCGACCGAGCACATGTTAATATGTGATAAATGCACCCCAGCGGTCGGCCCTGATGTAAATGGGCCCTTATGGTTCTAGTCTGGAACTGATATTCTTGTGGCTGTACATATGTTGTGCTTCCACATATTGTGGAATATGCTAATTTATGCTGATCCACAACCAACAGAGTGCAGACAACATGTGTTTCTGGGCGGCCCCCGGATCCTCCAAAATGTATGGCACTACATTCGATTTGGATAGAGCAGGGAATGGTTAAGACCCCCTTTACACCAGTGCCAGTACTGGCACTGGTGTGTCCCTACTTAAAATATAATGCATTGCTGGGATATGCAGGACAAGTCTCAGCAATACATTATAATAAAAGTCAGCAATGCAGAATACCACCAGCCCCCCCTTCCCTGCACCCCCCCCCTTCCTGGTCCAGACTTACCTTACCTCTCCTGCCGCACCTTCTTCTGTGTCTCGGCAGCCAAGGGGCGGGGCTTAGTGTAGAGGGTCCTCTCCCACACAGCAGAATGTGCTGACTGGCGGTGCCTGCAGCACATTCTGCTGGACTAGTGACAGCTTCTCCATCCCCCCGCACAGCCGCCCGTACCTGCCGCCGGTGGCAGAGGGGTGGGGAAGGAGCAGCACTATCTTATGAGGTCACTTAGAATTCATTGACAGGTGTATTTAACCTGCTTCAAGTGACTTTTGCATTCTTCTAGACTTGTATAGGAAGGCAAAACCAGCTTGAAACAAACAAAATCCCATCAGCATTGGTCCTTCAGTTGGTTAGAAAAAACCACACTCCTAGTCGCTGACGGCCACAATTCGCACGTTCAGACCCAGATTTTCGGCTGACAGTCCAGTCTTTAAACACTTTAACAACAGCTGCTCTTGAACATTTAACGAATTCTGCTGTTTTGCTGATACTCGCTCCATGGCTCCGAGCGCCAACAATCATCCCACGTTCAAAGGCTGTTAAATCGCGTTGTTTACCCGTATCTTCAGAAACAAATCACTTCTACTGTCGTGGTAAACAACCTGCTTCCCTATTTATAATGGTCTGGCCCTCTAGCAACTTCAGCGCAAAATTATAGCTAATTTGCCTACAAACGTCAGGTGGTCATAATAATCTGGCCACTCAGTGTATATGAAGTGGCAGTTCAGCTCCCTCAACAGCCATGATGTAGAGAGGAAATGGAGGCATGGTTTAGCATTGTGTTCAGGTCTTTTCAGTAATTTATAAATGTCCCTTATGGTTCTCTTATAACTTGTAGAGGTAAATTATCTCACCAGCACAGATACCACCACATAAAATGATTACCTATTTATCTTATACACTTGTCTTGTCTCCCAGGTTTGAGCTTGGAGAAGACCGCTTCCTTCAGGAAGAAGCTGAAGTCTGACCCCCGTTTTCTACTGGCTCAGAATGTTGCCACATGCAGTGATCCACTGGAAGTGTGTCTACAGAGGCAGACTGTTCAGGACAGTGTACATGTCTTTCAGCACACCATTCCTACGGAGGGCAAGCCTGTCACCAACCAGAAAAACTCAGGTAGGCCCCATCAGCTTGTTTCAAATTACCATGAGATTTTTTAAACATGTTAAATACTGTTATGAGAGGACCTCACTTTTCTATAATCATTGCCACAGCCTAGCATGTTGGGAGATTATTGTTTCTCTTGCGGTTTCTGTTCCTATGGGTGATGCCTGTACCTGTGTCATTGGGATAGGAAAATCTTTCCAAAAGAAAAGCAAACCGCAATAAAACAGCTTTATTTTAATCATTTGTATACGGGTTATATAACCACCATCATCTTTTTATTGCTGGCTTGTCCCCCATGGGGGAGATTTCCCATTATTTCCTGTGCTTCGGAAACACCTGTATCTGTATGTGACAAAGCGTAAATGAAAAGAAAGTGAAGATAAATCTCTTTGTTGGGGGAACACATCAGAACAGAAGTTCTAGCCGTCAGTCACACCATCCAGATCAAACTTTAAAAAGAAAAAGGCTGGTGTTAGTGGATAATCAAAATTCCGTTGCTGTTTCTCAGGTATTCATTTGCTGTCTTGATAAACTGCTACTTTTCCTAAACCATGGCATACATGTTTATGTGACACCCTTCCAGGTTATGTAGAAATATGCTGAGTAATGTTTGTGACCCCCAAATACTGCTGTGAATGTAATGCTGCTACAGCCAAAAAGCAATATTTCTAGTGTGGAAACATCCAAGCTTGCCCTCCTTAGCTGATTGGAAAGGGCTGGTAAACTCCAGGCTTCCATTATATAAACTCACTTATGAGATGAGGGACTAATCTGGGGGCCTGGATTAACTCCATCCATACGCTTTTCACAAAGGGATCTGATGTTGAATAACCCAGTGGCACCTCTCAGGTTCATACGATGTACATCTCATGTGTAATCTTTTTCCATTGGTTAGTGGCAAGTTTGTCTTTAGTACTCGAACTCTTAAAAATGACACAGGAGTCTTATTGTATCATATAGACAAACTCACTCTGCAGCCCCTCCATCCAGTCTTCTTTTCAAAGGGTATAAGGCATTCTGTGATTGGACAAGGGGCGTATTAATGTAACAATCTCCCATGACCAATCAAAGAATGCCTTGTATTCATTCAAAGGAATACAAGATGTTTCCTGAATGGAGGAGCTGCAGTGGGAGCAGTCTGCTATGATCACTGTACTTCAGCCTTGACTGTCAGTATTACCGCTGGAACTTCAGCGACGATATCTCTGGCAGTGTCTGTATGTAAGTAACATTTCTCAAGAAAGATGCAGCAGCCAATAGCGGGGCTAACAACTTTAGAGGTACCTTATTTCAACTTGGCTAATGTCCCAATAAAGTGTTGGCCCACTTCAGGTTTAATTAGTCAATCAAGTTAAAATGGATATTTCTGTTTTTGGTAGATGCTGGAGAGTTAAAGGAGAACTATGGGGTTAGGGCTTTTGCCCATAGTTCTCCTTAGGGTAACAGGAGGACACAAACTAGCGTCCTCCTGTCACCCTAAGCTCAGTATAACCCTAGCTACAGCTCGCGGTATACTGAGACGCCGCAGCTGAAGCGGATCCCGATAATTATGTCTGGATCCACCCAGCTGCGTGAGTGACAGCTATCTAGAGGTAGAGCCAGCTGTACCCGCCCCCTCCCCCGTCCGATACGCCAGTCAGCGCTGGAGGATCGGAGCGGGGAGGGGGGAATCCAGCCACTCCCCTGTCACGGCAGAGAGCCGTGACAGGATCGAGAAGTGAGCGAACACCGGTATGTGTTCGCTCCCCTCCCGATCTACTGAGCCGACCTGTGACAGTCTCATTGTCACAGGTCGGCTAGAACTATGAGGTGAGTGAAAAGCACTCACCTCATAGTTCTCCTCTAAACCACAAGATAATTTCTTATATCTCTCAGGGACTCTGTTTGGGAGATCTCAGTGCTTTGGTTCCTGGGTTTGCACACCTTCTTTGGCTATTATCGGGGTCCCACTCTCCCTCTCTGCCTGAATCATGAAGTTAGTGCTAGGCTTTTCTTTTTAGAAAGCCCAACAAGCTTTGGAAATGTACATGTGTATAGTTTTATACAAATAACAAATAGAACAATAAACCACAACAAAATACCATTTATAGTTTTCCATTCATAGCTTCTTTACTGGTGATATCCATTTAATATTTTGGAGTGTTGTCCGCACAAATATTGATCCATTTTCTATATTTTAATATGTTTTTTTATTTTAGTACTTGGACCAATTTAAGAATATAAAGCAATAAATGTTTAATTCTTCCTGATTTTATTCCACAGCCTAGTACACTAGATGCTTAGAGTTAATAGTTTGCTACATGATGGAATGTGCTTTGTCTTTCAGGACGGTGTTGGATCTTTTCCTGTCTGAATGTGATGAGGTTGCCTCTTATGAAGAAGTTTAACCTTGAAGAGTTTGAGTTCAGTCAGTCCTATCTGTTTTTCTGGGACAAGGTTTGTAGCCATTGGTGGAGGACATAACATTTTACCAGAATGAGGGGAATTGATCAAATCTGGAGCAGTTGCCCATAGTAACCAATCAGCTTTTATCTTCAGTTTATTCAGTAAAGCTTTGAAAATGTAAGAGAGAACCTGATTGGTTGCCGTGCACAGCTGCTCCAGATTTTGTCTGCTCCAGTTTTGATGAATTCCCCTCAATGTATTTTTCATCTGGTATTTCCCATTAAACTTGCTCAATCTATGCAGTCATAGCCAATTAGTGTGATTGTATCCTGCTCCCTATTGCTAGGTTCTTATACAATAAAATTCTTTCAGGTATGCTGCCCCCTTTGCAGATGCCATTAAATGTTTGCTGTGGAATACTGTTCATGCTAATTTTATTTTATCAATTTGTTAACCGCACAGATTGAACGCTGCAATTATTTCCTAAATGCCTTTGTTGAAACTGCACGTTTGAATGAGCCAATCGATGGGAGACTTATGCAGTTCCTGCTTTCAAACCCCACCAACGATGGAGGACAGTGGGATATGCTGGTTAACCTCATTGGTAAGAGCTAACAATACAGTAGCGGTGCTTTGTTTTTTTTACTATAACCAACTTTGTACAATTCTGAAACCTGATATCAGCTAACAATTGTCAGAATTTAGCACCAACGTGTTAGCCTGATACATACAAGCTGCAATACCACTTAAAGCCCTTCTCCGGGCAAACAAAAACTTACCCTTCCAGTAGGGTTACCCCCACAATGCAAGGGTTAAAGGAGAACTATGAGGTGAGTGCTTTTCACTCACCTCATAGTTCTAGCCGACCTGTGACAATGAGACTGTCACAGGTCGGCTCAGTTGATCGGGAGTTGAGTGAACACATACCGGGTTCGCTCACCTCTCGATCCTGTCACGGCTCTCTGCCGTGACAGGGGGAGGGGATGGATTCCCCCCTCCCCTATCCACCAGCGCTAACTGGCGGAACGGACGGTGAGGGGGCGGGTACAGTTGGCTCTGCCTCTAGATAGGCAGAGCCAACTGTCACTCACGCAGCTGGGCGGATCCCGTCATCTCAGTCGGGATCCGCTCCGGCTGCAGCGTCTCAGTATACCGCGAGCTGTAGCTCGCGGTATACTGAGCTTAGGGTAACGGGAGGACGCTAGTTTGTGTCCTCTCGTTACCCTAAGGAGAACTATGGGGAAAAACACTGACCCCATAGTTCTCCTTTTAAGTGGTTGTTTTGTCTAGGGGACCCTATTAAAGCTTATTTATTTATCTGATTCCCGCTCCTGCCATCTCTGTCCAGGCAGCTAGACTGATTCCCACAGCTTCTTCTTCTCTATGCTCCAGTGATATCACGTCATCATGTCTTATACAGGTCCATAGAGCGGCATTAGACGTGAGGATGCCAAGGGAATTCCAACTTTCAGAGTGGATGGGGAGAAGAAGCAAGCTTTTTTTTTTTTGCGTCCCCTAGAAAAAAATGAGCACTCAACCCTTTGCCTAGAGATGGGCTTTAAAACCAAACTTTACAAATATTGTCTAAATACTAGAGGTATCTGTATTCTTATTTGAATCTTGGTCTTTATGCATTTGTTCCAGATCCGTGCAATAATCCAGCATGAAACCACTCCTGCACTTTGACTTTAATGAAGACCGGTCAATGCTGCTCTCTCTCCTTGTGCAGGGTGACTGGTCTTGTATCCACCCTGCCTGTAGTTTTCTGGGCAGCTTGTAGTGGGAAAATCTACTCCCACTGATAGCTTTGCTGTCTACATAGTTTGTGCTGCTCGGTGATGTCAGCGCTAATTTTACAAGGCGGTATTAGGATTCTCAACGGCATTTAGTGCACACAATGTGGATTTATGTGCTTTGTGGCGTTTTAGCAATATATTTCAATGAATTTTTTGTGCCTGTATTTCAGATTTAAAGTGTGCTAAAGTAACAATATCACATATAAAATAATAATGAACAAATGTTTCTGTCTGTCTGTTTTTGCTGGAGAGTTCCCCATCACTTCTATAACGTAAAACATTTTCAGCAGGTCAGGAAGTGAGGGGAAATCTTTCTAACAGAGCCCTGGATGGCAGTGAAAAAATGACAAGGGTTTTAACCTCTAATTCTTGCCTGCTCTATCAATGCACTTTAAATGTTATCAGTTCTGTTATTTCTGGTACTTTCTTTATTACTAAATAATTACCCAATGATGCATTTATATCCTTTATATCCTTCTTTCCTATAGAAAAATATGGAGTCATCCCAAAGAAATGTTTCCCTGAATCTCACACCTCAGAGGCTACACGACGAATGAATGACATTATTAACCACAAGGTGAGGGTGGTGCAGGCCGTGGGGCATGAGCTAGTTCAGCTACCTGTTTAACAGGTAGAGTGTGGAAGGACCAAGCTTTTTTTATCAGTATTAACTGACCCACATATAGGTTTGTTCAGTGGTCAAAGAGCTATGTGCAAAATAAGCTGAAATGTTATTTGCTTTTATGTATTGCTGCCCTTTGCATTATCAAATTGTCCTTTCTGCTGCCTTACTGATTTAAGCCCCTTAGAATAATTTGTAACTTAACCCCTTCGTGACAGGAGACGTACACTGATGTATGCAGATGATCTGTAATGCCCGTAACCACTAAGAAGCAGCAGCTACCATTCATTAATGTATGCCTCAGTGTGGAGGCATCCATTAATGAAAGAGTTAAGCTTTTACAGTCAGTAATAGCAGAGTGGTAGTTACCGCACTTGCTGTTACTGTTTGACAGCTGGTACAGATTGGAATTAGGAGATCCCTTTGTGTACCGGCATTTTTCTAAATGTTTCAGAATAGAAACATATAGCTACATGTTTCTATTCTACAACAATGTTGCAGACTTCTGATCGCTCTGGGAGTGATCCGAAGCCTTTAGTGACACTGATGCTGACAAGTTTGGAGCCGCATAATAATAACCAAACATTGATAAATTGGATCACACTAATCCAGCACGTCATTAATCTCACGTGCCCCACTCAATATGGCCGCCGCTTGAGTGGGGCAACTCAGAATAATAACGTGCTGGATTAGTGTGATCCTAGTTCATTTTATTACTTCATTGCTGTGCTGTATGTGTATAGGCCAATGCCTTGGCTGGCGCTCGTGCAGAAAGTTTCTTGGGAAAACTCACCGTCCCAAGTGGCTCCATCGGCTAACGGAGGGGGGAGGAGTCAGCCGTCACGGACATAGATGTCACCGGACTCCTCCCCTTCCCTTCGTTAGCCGACGGAGCCACTTGGGGAAGAGGGGGAGGAGTCCGGTGACGTCACGGACATCGACATCGCCGACGGGACTCCCGGAAGCTGGCGGAGAGGTGAGTGTTTTCATTAGCGATCAAAATAATTTTAATCGATCAAAAAGTTTAACGATTAATCGAGAAATTAATCTTTAATTTTCACAGCCCTAAAAAATGTTAAAACAATTGTGGAAAGTGTAAAAAAATAAAAAATACATTTAAAAAAAAATTCTATATTTAAATATATTGTTATACTATCGTTTATTATAAAAATCAACCCCCTAAAGTGAAAATCGGCAGCTGAGTTGCGTGACAGTGATGTTCAAGGTATGTCGCGGTCACAAAGTGTGACACTTAGTGACAGTGACAATTTATGCCAGATGACCACTATAATTTTTTAGAGAAAAAAAATGTTGGCTTTTAGTTTTAGGCTGAGAAGTACAGAAAATGTTCTAAAATTCTAGGGATGTGAGATGTTTCCAAATAAATGAATTCATTTTAATGCATTTTATTTAGCTGTGCTATTTTTCCAAAAAATATTAATAATCAAAACTGGGAAAAATTTGTTTTTTTAAAAATAAGTTTTACCTCTTTTTTTAATATATTTTATTAGTCCTAAGTGAGGCGTTAGGGCTATATATTTATATCACATATGTGTACCTATCTGTCCTCTAACAAACAATATATAATATCTGTGGGTGCACTTAGTAAGGAAGTATATTACTGCCGTGGAAGAATCACACAGCAAAAATGTCAAAGGTGCGTCAGTCATTAACGAACAGACACTAAAAACAAGCTCAGTCATGAAGGGGTAAAGCAGAAAAATGACAACTGGAATCTTAACCGTTGATCAGGGAACACCTGTCCTCCCGTGAGTCACAACATGCCCTGATGTAGTTTGCTCTGTCTTAATTCCAAAGTGGGCCAGAAGCTCAAATAGGTTATCTCAAGAGGTTTTTGATATCTGGAAGAGCTTGATTGTATTTATATTTGTGATCCCAGAGCAATAACCAAGTGACAATTGAGGTCCGTGGAACAGCAGATTAAGGCCCCATCTGTATAGCTGATAAATACATTAGAAACATACAGTACTTGACTTTACAGCTGCAGCCATGTTTATCTTTTTTGGTATCAGGGAATACTGTGTAATATTGAGAAAAGTACTCATGCACGCATTTGTCATTCGCAGATGAGGGAATATTGCTTACGGCTAAGGAACATGGTATCCAGCAGCTCCACTAAGGAAGAGATCTCTGCGGCTTTGGAAACTATGATTGAGGAGGTAACTGTTGCTTGCATGTCTGCATAGGTTACTCTTGGCTTGTAATGTATTTCATAAGACCCATAAGGACTTGTATCTGTATGATAAATACATGAACGCTGACCTGCTATTATAAAGTGTTTTTTTGTCTCCCTCTTCCTTGAGGGTCTACAAAACCTCAGTGTGCTGTATGCACATCTAAAACTCAATAGGAGTTCCATATTCTTATGCAATTTTAAAAAAGCCACAAAAGCACCCTTTACTAAGAGAAATGACCTTCTGAAAATTTGAGTTCTTTGGCTGACTTTAACCTGTACTTCCTGAGTCAATGGACTGGAACAAGCACGCAAACTACAAAGTCAGTGAATTTGAACTCCTGAAGTGCATACTTGTTCTGGGCCGGTGCCTTGATCATTGGATTTGCAGGAAGACCAGGCAACTAGAATTTGCAGAGAGAGCGATTGGCAATAGCAGCCTCCCCTTTTCTCATATTATAGGTTTCTGTTGGGGGGGAAAAAAAAGGCCAAGAAATGTATGCGATTTTAACCACCAGATGGCAGTGTAGGAATGGAAATACTCTGGAAACATCCTCCACTACGTCTGCGGCAGCAAGGGCCCTCCAAACACACTCCCAGACTGTTGGCTTTTTGCTGCAGGTGCTTTGCAGCTACCTGTTTTACACACCAGAATTAGGGCTAATAGACCGCTGATGTCTTATTTAAGAGAACCCGTCACCTCCATTGTGCAGTCACATAGGAGGCTTGTCGGTCCCATGTGATAAAAAAAAGATTAATAATAATTAAAAAATCTCAAATTTTAAAAGCCCCCTCATACACACACAGACGAGTGCCAATGCATGTGTTGGGTGCACCTACATATGAAAATTATGATTGGTCCACACAGTTAGGTATCACCACACATGCCGGAGTAAAAGCAATAATTTTATGGCCATTATTTGCAGTTAACTATAAATTGAGGATCTGTAAAGGCTTTTAAAGCGTCAGCTATACAAAATTTTGAGTACAAAAGCTTTTTGCGATTTCATGGGTGCACGCAATTTTGAGGTTTGACATCTTTTACAATAAAATTGGGTATTATATAGCGTTTGTGCGCATTTGAATGTATTTTTTACTGAACATTTGGGTTTAATAAACAGTTGCGCTATATCGTGTAACGTAGAAAATTGCAATGGCCACCACTGTAGTTTCCAGGTCTCTGCTTTCTGAAAACATATACGTTTGGGGAACCCAAAATGTGCATTTTTCTTTTTAATAAATTTTTCTTAACAGTGTATAAAGAGAAATGCATGTGTCAGATTAACAAACAATTTATGGCATAATATAGCACAGTAAACATTCACCAAAGACATAAAAGTGGGGAATAGGGTTAAAAAACATTCAATATCTTCATAGTGCAAGAACAACTTTGAGAGTAAGAAACAAAACAAAAGCTGAATGACTCTAGGTAGCACAAGAGAGAAGAGTGTGAGTAAAATGTGCTTTTTGTCATGCGTGAAACAAAATGCAGAGTTAAAAGCAAGCAAATACTGAAAGAACTCCAGTGTTTGCTATGTACTGCCCTTACTCACCCACACCAGGTAGACCTATACAGAGCATTGAGAGATTATGTTGTGAAATATCCAGTAACCCATGACACTTTATCAAAAATGATATGGTTATAATTGACACCTGATTACTTGCTAGGGGTTACTGGGCTTTACAAATGAAATTATCATTGCTCTTTGTACTGGTTTATTAGTTTTGACTTTATGAGAGTCCTTGCTACATTTGCTCTTTATGAATACTTTTTGGCAAGCACAAAATTCATTGAACTCCTTGCATGGCTGTTACTTGGAAATGTAATTCGAAGAAAACATATTAGGATGGAATTCAATTCAGACATGCGTTAGTCCACCCTAGGTGGCAGCGAGCTTCCTAAGGGCTCATGCACACTTGCTGCAGCTCATAAGCCAGTAAAATGGGGTATGCTTTAGATGCTTTTTGGTTGCTTTTAGATGCTTTTGAGTGGCTTTAAACTGCTTCCAAGCTGTGTTTTGCATTCCCATTGAGTGGTATAAGAAAGCACAATGGGTCATATGCAGACCAATGTCTGGGCATTGAAGCCCATAAGGAGACAATATGTG